CTTGGCTTCAGTTTAAAGACTTTGCGGAAGCGAGATTCAACTTTGATTAGGCCTAACAAGTGAAACGACGCTCAAAAGCTGGCATCGTTTTAACCAGCAACCCGACAAGCTTTCTCTTGAGTTGTGTAAACTAAAACGTCATAACAGCAGCAAACAACTCTGCCCAACCGGAGTATAGTGTCTTCTTCTTGTGTGAGCTGATTGCTAATTTATTCATCTTACATCCTCTCATGTGCAATGAAAGTCACCGCCAACACGCTTGCTTCGGGTAGCTTTCAAAGCCCGGCTCAACATTGCTTGGGCTTGTCCGTCCGATAGACTCGAACAGCCGCAAGCGATCATCCTCGCGAAGGTGGCAGTCGACACTTGCTCGTCGACCAGTCTGGCCAGGTTCGAGGCGCCTTCGAGTGGCAGCAGCTAAAGTCCATTAGGGCTGTTGAAAACGACAGTTTAGCAGCTCCAAACAAAAGGTTCCAGTCTTTTTGCACATAAATAGGCGTTGATACTAGTCGCAATTCTTAAGTAAAACCTTAGTCAGCCCACGTCGCTTTAGGAGTTTTAAGTCTACCTTAACTTGGCTGGACTTGACTGGGCCGCAATTCCAACGTCGCTCCATCGTCTATTCAGTGAAGCTCGTTGGAGGTGTTAATGATGATGATGTTGTTGATGATGAGGATAAGAATGATGATGATAGCAGTGGTGATAATAGAAAAATTAATGATTAGGGTGATGATGGTGGCAGCAGAATTGATGAAGAGGAGTGTGATAGTGATGGCGACAGTAGTAGTAGTAGTAGTAGTAGTTTGGATGATGGTGATTGTGATAGTACTGATGATGATGGTGATGATGGTGGGGGTGAGTATGATAGTATTGATGTAGGTGAATATAAGGTGCTGATGGCGACGCTAATAATAATAATTAGTAGTAGTAGTAGTAGTATGGAAGTTATATTCTGAAATTTGATGGAATCCTTGAGGATTGGGCTCCACAGGACTCGGCCAAGCTGGTTGCATGTAATCGGCTAGTCTGACGATGACTCGGATCAACAGATCGGCTCTCCACACCTCCTCCTCTGCCCCACCCATTTGGAAAGAGGAAAATGTCCCGGGGCTCCAGGCAAGTCCGCCTGGGATGGGTCCAGTTTCATGACGTCGTTCGCTGATTGGCGCAAACGATCTGACCAATGGCCGGGCTGCATTTGTAGTGGTAATGTGTGCAATCAAATGACCATCTGCCCGATCTGGCAGATTAGCATGTCGAAAAGGGTCGAGAGGAGGCCATAAGCGTTGCATTCCTCCACTTATTGGCTGCTTCATCGCGCCTTGACCCAACCTGTACTGCATTCACCTGAAGCTCTGTGACGGCTCAACACGTCATCGCATTCCACCAATCCCGGCCTTTTCAACTGAGCCTCACTTCTGCCAGAGACTAGATCAATTCTCTGGCTGTCTCCACAGCCGGTTTCTTAACGACGGTCTCGAGAGGACCCCCTTGGTCTTCTGCTCCTCTCTCTCATCCTCCACCGCGTCAACTGCCTCGTCTTCTTGTCTGCAGGTGCTTGGATTTCTGCCGGGTCGACTGCACCTCGATCCTGCTGCCACAACCCACTCATAAACACGCACACACACGTTGAGCTCACTAGTGCACACACACACACACACACACACATACACGCACAATCTAGGCTCTGCACCATACAAATGTCTCCAAGCCACCAAGTCGGGTAACACCACCAAGCGAATCGATTAGTCGGACTTTGGGTGAAAGAGTGAATGGCAGAAAAGTCTACGAGGTACCAGATGTGTGATGTGTGCGACGAAATATGCGAGATGACGGCTATGCTCAGTGCTTTGTGCACTAGTCTGCCTCGAGCCTGCCAGCAGAGTAACTAGTTTTCTGTCTATCTCATACTACACACACACACACATACACACACACACATGCAAATACACACAAAGATTCTACATATTCGTTCGCTGCCCTTTGTATCATGTGGTTGTGGACTTGTGTCAGGCGAGCAGCACTCCAGACGCTTCGAGCAGAGGCGTCGGTGTTGCTGTGAGTGTTGGTGCAGACTGTCTGTCGCATTGCCAACGGTTCTTGCGTCTGTCGGGACTTGGTGCTGTGTCTGGTAACTCCGCGTTACTCGAACCGGACAACTCACTTGACGCCGCTGCTCCGCTCCTCCGCTCCTCCCAGCCCCACTCCCCACTTCCTCGACTGGGCGTGACTTGAAAGGTCGTGTTGGACGTCACCGCGTCGGCCATGCCTCCTCGACCAGCCTCCTGCGGAGGCATCTTCCCATTTTTTTCCACCGGCCTCCTCCCGATTCCGGCCTGGCTGCTGGCAGTCTGTCTGGCCGGCTGGGCTGGTCTGGTTGCCGGGCAGAGCCAGGGCCCGTTGGCCGTCGAGATGACGACGCGGCGAGCAATGAACGAGACGGAACTGCAGATCGCCAGTCTCCAGTACCGCAGGACAGCGCTCAGTTTGGGACTATTTTGCTTCTTCTTTTTCGGCGCCAACTTTATCTGCTGTGGATTTTCTGCCAAAAAGATAATAAGGCAAGTCAGCCTTGCTATGCTACTTTTACCGGCGAAAGTAGTCCGTTTGTTGGCAGTCAGATGGAAACCTCCGCCTCGCACGCCTCGCGCCAGTCCAGTGCGCGGGACTCGAACTTGGGCAGCTTCGATGCGGAGGCCCAAGTCGTGGCGGCCCGGTCCGGCCTAATTTCAGTTCTGTTCTTTCGCCACGAACCTCGGAAGGCCGGCCGAGATGGGGCCTGCGTTCGAGTCCAGCCGGCCTCAGCCAACT